CCGACTCCGCCCACTTTTCCCCGATTTTTTTCCCCTGTTTTTTCTTTCCCCGGAATTTGCGGGGTCTCGAGCTTTTGAGCGTTTCTATGCAATCCCGCTCCACTGCTAAGTTTCATCGGAGCGGCAACTTCAAAGAGTTCGAATTCTGCCATCTTCTTCTCGAAAAACAAAATAGTTTTTCACCTAATTTCCAACTATTCAACGTGAACTCTGCAGCGATCATGCATCGTTCCCCGATTCCTTTGTTCTTCGATACGTTTCGCAACTCACCTTCGTCTCGTTTCTCTCGCCCCCCTCCTAACACTTTTTTGTTCTGCCGCCTAATCGATCGATTTTGCCGCGGCAGTGGTGACTGTTTTCGCTCTTCTTTTCTTAGCAGACGCAGTGAAAAATGTGCGTTTTACCGCATTTCTCTCACTTTTTGTCGTACTTCTTTCTGCCTTTTTGCTTATCAAGTACTAGTTTCAGAGAGCATCGCAAATGGCGACATCGACTGGCGACTCGAAACGGAAGGCGGCTAGATGTCTCTTCGGGAGACCAAATCCAGGAGAGGTAATAACTAAAATTCCTTAACTTCTCGAAAGAATATCTAATTTATAGGTTTCTAAAAAACTCGACGCAAGTCTTGAGCGCATGTACGCAGAGGAATCTCGCAAGTGGAACTTTGATTTTGCCGGTGGAGTTCCGCTCGTCGGAGCTCAAGGAGACTACGAGTATGAATCGGTCGCTGCTTCAGAAGTTCCAAGCTTCTATCGCGAGACGACCGTTCGTCCTCGGAAGCACGCTCGGCACGAGCACTCTCCGGCGGCGTCTGATACCGTTGAGATTCCTGAAGAGGCTTTGTTTGTGGTTGAGCAGAACGAGCCGCAACATTCGATTGCATCCACTTCTCAAGGACCCACAGACTACGAAAAGCCAGTGACTAGGTAATTCCTACTTGCGGTAGATTTTTCCATAATCTTTTTTTTCAGAGCTAGCGTTGCTAATAAGACCCATGATCATCAGGACGCGGACAGTTTGAAGCAGACTAAACTGACAAGTAAGTTTTGAATTCATGCGGTTTTTGGTTTATGACCAAAGAATACTTCACTGAAAAAATTAAGTTTGGCTCAGTGCCAACTCTTATCATTTGTATAATTGTTAATTCACTCGTTCGAAAGGTTCTCAGTTCTCAACGTTCTCTCATATTTCCATGTGAGATATCTGACCTAACGGCTGGCTCATCTATCATTTTTTTTTTCATCCGTGACGCGTTAGGTTGAGTTATGCAAACCATCCGTAACTCGAGAAAATGACAGCTGACTTTTGTATGAAAAGAAAACGAATTTAAAATTTGCTAGGAGGTCGTTAAGTTTTCTATAGAGAGCGTAATAATGGGAGCAGATGGAAAGACAAATCGCTAGGTTTCGAGATTTGGAGAATATAATTTAACCGGTCAGCCTTGAATGCTTTTTGAATTGTTGAGTACAATAATATAAACTTTGCTATGTGTATCGAAATCGCTCACTATCTTCAGTCATCTGTGTTGCGTGACTGCATTAGGTGAAGCCCAATGACTCCGATCCTTTTCAGCTTAGCGCTATTAAGATTATGATAAGATCAGAAGGTATTTTTTGGTGTCAAGGGCAAGTTGCGCAATCAGTTTCTTGAGTAAATTCTGTTTCACTACAATTTTGTTGCTTCCAGACTATATGCCAGTCCGCAAACGTCGTAGTGAGACTTGTCTGGTCACTGCTGCCGTTTCAATGAACCGTTCCGTTTCCATGGACTCCACCGCTGCACCACAGAAAGAGAAACGTGGATCCAAACACGGAAACAACAACAAGGGTGCCCCAAAGCGCCCGCTTCGGTATTCATATTATTCTAGGAGCCGAGATAATCTTTCCTTTCAGATTCGTCCCACCAAATTTGCCGAAGCCAGCTCAATCGTCTATTTCGGACAGTGTTCTTGTCTCGTCGCCACGCTCTCCACCGGCAAAAAAGAGTGCCAAAACTTCTCGTCGTGCCGGTCGCGTAGGAGCAGGAGACTTCTGAAATTGGCAACTCCACTCATCAGTTCAATGACTCATGTTCTATTGTCCTCGTCCTCATAATCATGTGTATGGTATGTTCTCAGTTTTTCGTTTGAAAACACCGGGTGGATTCGTATCAATCATTGGTCTGAATTGGGTCAAAGGGTTTAGTGTCAAGCGGCGAGTACATGAAACATGATGCGGCAAACGATGTTTGAAATGAGGTGATCCGAAAAAGCGCTCATTCATCTAGCTGCCACCCTGCGCAGCTGCACTGATTGCCACGTCGGCTCAATTGAATGTATGGACGCGTTACAAATCACCACCCGTCGAATGTAGTGCCCTCACACCGATAATCGGTCTATTTGCAAGTGATTTTAAATTCGATCAGCTGAGGGTTTCTTCTGAAAAAAGTTAACTGTTTCTCGTTTTACATTTCGAACGAAGAATAGGTATTTCTTCAATTCACTTTCACACCAACAAGAGAACAAAAAGTAGTCGTTCAAATCATAGAGATTTATGACACATTTTGTGACACTGTTTGGTGGGCAAAAAACTGGTTTCTACCTCGCCAATCACACCATTCACCATTCACAATGATCACCCCAATCGCCCAATTCTCTCTTTCTCGATTCTTTTCATGAGTTTCGATGAGGAGGGGTTTTCGTATTTTCGTGGTGGGAAAGTATACTACCTTTACGAATGTTGAAAGGCGTCGCCGCCATTGTGTTGGGAGTGAGTTTGGTGAAAATTGAGGGAAGAGAGAGGGAACTGAACAGATGCATCCAGTGGCGACGGCCTTTTTGATGTTCACCCGAAAATTGAAGAAACAAAAAGTCGTGAATGAACGAAGGTTCTGTTTGAACGAAACCGACGATTAAACCGAAGTAAAAGAATCATTTTGGCAGCGACTGTCGATGTTCATTGGCAAAAATTTTTTGGTCATCGGAAACATCTGGAAAGGTCTTCGTTGGAGAGAAGCTATGATTCGTAAATGCTTTAGTTTTTTGGTATTTTTAATCGAGACGAATCGCCGAGAATGGCTTATAATTATGTCACCATCTAGGCTCTTTCACAACTCCATCTTCGTTCCGGTTTTTGTAATACAATGCGGGTAACTGTAGGACGTCTGTCAGTCAACGATGAATCATTCATATCATACATATTGGCTCGGTTTATTGACGAATGCATTTCTGCTGTAATATCAGTGCTGGCTGTCGTACCATCCTAATAGTTACATCCCTGCTGAAAAATATCCACAAACTATCAGCAATGTATAAGACCAGTTGAGGGAGAATAACTTTTTTGCAGTTTTCTTCAAATCAGCAGAAGATTTGCATAGAATTAATTTTCGAACAATACTAACATCAAAACTGCTCTTTAATCACTGCAAAATCTCAATCAGCTCATTAAAATCCTCCTGTTTTTTTCTAATTCTTCGACCCCAATACCAAAGACGATAAGTTTCTTAACTTCTTAATCAAATCTTGCTGTTTGGCGACCTGAAAATCTACCTAAATCCACTAATGCGGTTTTCACCCTCTACGGATTTTCGATAATCTCAAAATTTTCATTTTGAAAACAAGTGCGTTTTCACAAAATTTTGAAAATACGAAAAATCAAAAATCTATGTACATGTGAATTCGAAATTAAATTGTCCAACTGGACAGGAGAAAGATGCCGTGCGGATATATTCTCTCCAGATGTGACGTTTAAAAAAAGAACATGTATCTTATGCGAACAAAACCATGTCGGCGTTTCGAAGGACAGTTAAAACCAAATTATATAGCCGATGAATAGGCAGTTTTATGAGTGCCGAAGAAGAATGGAAAAAATGGAAAAAACTACTCCTGTTCCATCGAAATCCGCCGATGAACATGTTGTGGTGTTCTAGTGTGTTAATGTTTGGACTTAAGTAAAACTGCAGTTTCCATACTCACAGATCCCTGAAACTTTATCGTTATAGAATCGTTTGTTCTCTTGCTCGATGACACTTTCATTGCTTGCTAATCCTTCTCGGTTCAATCAAATTTCTCGCACTCATGAATGACGCCAACATTAACACATCATGCCGTCGACTCATTTTAGTTTATTTCGGGAGGTAGTTCAATTGTTAACTGAAGGAAAAACGGCTATTTTAGCAGTCTTTTG